AGTGGGTGTGGTTTGGGCTTTGCTTCTGTGAAGACTGACAGCCTTGGAGACCCTGTGGGCAGTTCCACTCTGTCCTCTAGGGGCGCTGTGGGTCTTCCACCTTCCTCTAATCCCGCAGGAGCTCTGGTGGCATAATGCCTAAGGCACTTAACTGCTAACCAGAAGGCTGGCAGTTCAACCACCCACCGCTCCTCGGATGGAAGGTTGGGCAATCTACTTGCATAGAGATAGCGCCTCAGAAACCCAAGGAAGGGTCGCTATGAGTCGGTCCAACTCCACGGCACATAACAACAACTAATCCCACAGCACGTCCTTTCCTGCCGTCACCGGCTTCCCCTCTGCCGCAGGTACCGCCTGGCCGGCCTGCCCGGGGAGTACCAGCAGAGGAACATCAGCGGTGCGGAGGTGAACTACTGCCTGGTGAGAGGGCTCATCGTCTGGACACAGTACGAACTGCAGGTGGCCGCTTACAACGCGGCCGGCCTGGGCGTGTTCAGCAGGGCTGTGACCGAGTACACGCTGCAGGGAGGTAAGCCGAGGGGGCGCCTCCGTGGGGAGCGGGATTCGCAGAATTCGATTGGAACGCGTTAGAAATGAATGCAGTGCCTCAGTCCTCTGGGGCCCGTCGGAGGAGCACCGAGTGCGTACTTAACACGCTCTGATCCAATTCCCGAACCAACGGCAGGGAAAGTGCAGGAGGGACGGGGGACTGCCCTGCCTGTCCCTCTGGCTACCAGGCAATGAACATCTCTGTGCGCCCTTGGCTAGTGGCCGCTCGCCACAGAGTCCTGTTGACTTGCAGGGGGTGCACCTTGTTCACAAGCGCCTGCTGTGACACCTGCCTGAGGCTGCAAAGGTTTACAGTGTGTTTTCACGTGGCCATGGCATCGTGGGTGATGGAATTTGCAACTAGTGCTTTTTCCTTCCTTCCTTTCTTCTTCTTTTTTTTTTTTTTTTTTTTGGCCTTTTTCAGTAACTAAAAGCAAACAAGTTACTTCCCCACCTCTGTCAAAAATGACCAGGCGGAAAGCCGTAAAAGAAGTGGGTCTTAAATGAACTCGCCAAGGCCTGGAGTTTCCCATCGGCTGTGCCCTCAGGGGCCTGCACTCAGGGTCAGTCCTGTCCGTGGAATAAGTAGACCCTCTCCCAAGGTCACCGCACAGGCCCCACGGCAGCCCAGCTACGTGGCTGGGAAGTCATTTCCCACCAAATCTGAAGCCCTTCTTCTCTCAGTGATCTGTGCCCACCACTGAGTCACAGGTGTGGTTTCATTGGCTTGGCCATTTTTATTGCTAGCTGGCCTTGACCTTTCTCAGATGGTGAGGTTTCTGACTGCCCACTTCTCTCCTCGAATCAGACCTGTGACCTAATGTTCCCTGATAGTACACGCTGTTATTATCATCCCTTATTGATCAGCTGCCAGTTGTCATGCAAAAGTCCATAAATCCTCCTTCATAAATTAAGTGCGGTCAGCGCGGCTTCAGCAGGAACGGGAGGGCCGCCACTTAGAGCCTACTCGTCTCCCAACGATTCTGCATCAGTCGTTTGAAAACAAAAACAGCTGACACCTGGACAATTAATGTTGGCTGCAGTCTGTTTAAAAGGCCCTGCTGGCACAGGGGTTGGAATATTTGGCTGCTAGACAAAAGTTTGGTGGTTTGAACCCACCACCCATTCCACGGGAGAAAGATGTGACAGTCAGCTTCTGTAAAGCCTTAGAAACCCTGTGGGCAGTTCCACTCTGTCCTCTAGGGGCACTGTGGGTCGGAATAGACTCCAGGCAGTGGGTGTGGTTTGGGCTTTGCTTCCATGGAGACTGACAGCCTTGGAGACCCTGTGGGCAGTTCCCCTC